GCATCATGTCAAGAACCAGGTGTAACACTGTGGGGAAGAGATGACATCGTTCCACGTAACACCTCAGAATAAATCTTCTTTGGTTGAATCGCTACTGTGATTTTGAAGATTTGCCACTCAATTAGAATCAATCGCCTTCCCCCGAGAAAAATTACAACTTCGACGTATAATACTCGACAGCGATGTGTGTCGTGAATGTAGTCGCGAAACAGACGTTCACGAGCCATACAAGCATTGGTGACCAATCACATTTCTCGCTGGCTGCTGTGGGGACGCCCAACATCACAGAAACCTCACTGTCAACACCGAGACTAACAAACAGGAGAGCTCTAGCCGCCAAGATTTCGGACGTTGTTTCTTGCTTTGTAATCACTTCTCTCGCCCGGCTGACATCTCCTGGTTGAAATTTGGTTGCTACGGGACCTTCAGTTGACGCAGGCGCGACGCGCCGTGCTGCTTGACCTCACCTAGCTCAAGTGACATGGTCAACCGCGACGCCCACGGGTTCACCGTTCACGCCATCCGATGAGCTTCCGGGCAAGCCAACCCCATTGGGACTGAATATCTGACGAAGCTGCATAACTTTCGCAAGCAGAGCCCATAATGGCTCGATACCTCACGCCTGCCAAGATTGGCCTCCTCGCTCTCATCGAGCTGTACACGGACGAACATGTCCCCGCCACGGCAATCATCCCCGTGCTCTCCTTCATCACATCACATCTCCTCGACCCAGACCCTCAGTCCTTCACCAACACCGCCAGCAAGGACACGCGTTGGAAAAAAGCCGAGAGCACCGTGAGCCTCGTCATCGGCATCAAGGACTTTGAAAAGCTGCTGAGCGCCCACTCCGTCGTTGTCGGCCTGCCGGGGCGGAAGCTATGGGACACGTTCCTCGCCAAGCTATGGGGGATCAACTCTCTCGATCTGCTCCACGACTTCTTCGCGCGCCAGTCGCAGTGCCTGGCCAAGACGAAAGAAGAACTGCTGCGGGCGGCGGGCGGCGACGAGACCATTGCCGCGCAGCTGTTGCAGGAGCAGCAGCAGAAACCTGGGATCACACTGTCGAGAAACTCGCCGCTGGGTCAGTTTGTGCGGCGGTGCCAGCTCGAGTTCACAAGGCTGCTGTTCCACGATGCGACGCAGCTCTGGACGGATTTCGTGCAGTATCGGCAGCCTACGGCGGGGTACCTCCGGAAGAGGAACCCTTCCTTTGGCCGGCTCAGCTTCGACAATGTTCTCATGACGGGCGAGCAATCGGAGTGGGACTTGGAGGGTGTTGCGGCGCTCACATCTGTCGTCTATGGCGATATGGTGAGGAACGGTACTCCTGCTGCTGTGCCGGTGAGCACAGACGACATTGAGCTTTTGCTGGAGTTCCAGATCGAGCAGATGCAGAGTGAGCAAATCTTTCTAGATTTTCAGGATCCAAAGCTGACAAGAGTAGAATTCGGCAACCGAATACCATTGGAACTGAGGAACCAGTTTCATGATCTTCTTGGAGACAGTTTTCTCGTGCCTAGCTTGAGGCATTATCTAAGGCAACTCACTCCGACCATTGTTAATGAACACTTTTACTAATATTCTGCAGTTTCCTCGATGCTTGGAGATCAGGCGACTATCCTACAGCATTTGATTTCCTCCATCAATACTTTGACTACACGATGCAGAACCGAGACAGACTATTCTATCAATACGCCTTGATGAACCTGGCAGTTCTGCAAGCAGATTTTGGGTGCTACAGAGAAGCCGTCGCAGCCATGCTCGAAACCGTATCAACGGCCCGCGAGAACCGCGACATGACCTGTTTAAACTTTGCACTTAGCTGGCTTTTCCATTTTGGCAGAGCACACCCGGACCTTGTGAGAGACCTGGAGGCAGACAGTCTCCTCGGCACAGCCAAGGAGAGTCTTTCCTATCTGCGAGTCAAGGCGAAGGAGACGGGAATGTGGACATTGTGGGCGTCAGTGCTGCTCAGTGAAGCGAAGCTTGGCCTGGCAAACGGCGAGAGCGTGGCGACATCGGTCGAACTTGTGGTTCGCAGCTCTCACCTCATTGTCGAGCGGAACATGAAGAATATGTTTGGCGCCCAGCTGTCCATCCTGATTGCTCTGTGGGATAGGCTGGGGCTGTCGCAGCTCTCGGCCATGGACTGTGAGATTTTCTTACGGTGTCACGCGAGACATTCGATATTCGACGACGAGCTCAAGGTCACATCTCGTTTGGCGTCGCAGCTCGCGGCGAGAGGCAAATTTGACGAGGCGTTGCAGAAACTAGAGGCCCTCGACGAGAACGCCCTGCGATCATGGAAGCCGAGCCAATACTGGTACAAGTACCGGGGCATCATCAAACTGAAGCGGGACCTGCACCACAACAACCTTGACGGTGCAGAGCAGCTGCTCTCGCAGCTCTTGCAGTCCAAAAAGGACGACTTGGAACCGGACATGGCCTTTGTCGTCGACTTACTCCACATCGACTGCCTCACGCGGCGGGGTGACCTACAGGCGGCTTTCAACAAGGTCGAAGACATGCTGGCGGCGATTCGCGACGATAAGAGAGACATTTCGCTCCGCGTGCGGCTCATGCTGATCAAGGTTCACCTTTATGACAAGTGCGGGCGTCCGCAGCGGGGCTTCACCATCGCCATGCGCGCCGCGAGCATGGCATGGAGGGCGAGGCTGGTGTCCTGCCTGTGGCAGGCCATCGGCGCCGTTGCGAATATCCTGACGTCGCTGGGCGAGTTCGACGCCTCGGTGCAGCTCCTCACGGCCGTCCTGCCGCGGAGTCTCGAGTGCGATTCCGCAGCGCTGAGCGGGCAGCTGTACTCGTACCTAGCCGACGCCAACATGGGCATCGCGGGGACGATGGCACCGCAGTCGGCCAAGAGGCGGGAGTACCTGACCCGGGCTACGGGTGCCATACAAAAGGCGTTCGATCATTATTCGAGTATCGGGGATATCACAAGGCAGTGTGAGATGATGGCCAAGAAGGCAACCATCATGAAGGTTGCGGGGGATAAGGTGTTGGCAGCGGATTACGCGGCTGCATATGTAGCCCTGCGCAAGGAGGCGGCAGCACTTGCGATATGACATGTTAGCAACGCCCGGAATACCTGCAGAGGGATATGACGAGCAGCAAGTTCACATAGCACAACGCATCAATACCCTTCACGATGACACTCCTGAAGTTTTTGAAAAAGGCCGCATCTCTCGATTGCTGTGACATAGGGAAAATGTACAGGATAGTCTACCCCCTCAGCAGGCGTGTCACACCCCGAGTCTATGGATCGCTCCTTCGTCTCCTGAATTCAGCGATATCACGTTCAAACTAGACAGGCTTAATTTAAGCCTTGTCGGGGTTGTGGTAGTTGACGTTGTCGTTCCAGCTGTTTTCAGTGTTAGTCTCTCCCACAAATTCACTTCCTCGTCCCGCCGCGTGCATGAAATTGAGCGGGGAGGGGACCAGAGGAGAATGATGAAAACGTACAAGATGGTCTTGTCACCGTTGCCCCATTGGTAGTTCTTGGTGCGGATGTTCTGGTAAGAGTACTCGACGCGCTCCTCCAGAGGGGGCATGTGGCTCCAGTGGTCCCAGTGCTCGTTCCAGAGGACGTAGGCGTTGGCGGCAGCGAGGCCGAGGGCGGGGATGCAGGCGCTGTGAAGGTGAGGAGCGTCGGGTTAGCATTTGCACTCTTGAAATTAGTCTCCCATGTCTCCCCAGCAGTTCCCGAATCAAATCCCGCGCTCTTTCCCGGCTGCTTCGTGATACTCAATTATAGCGGTATTGGCTGACATGGCCGGGCAGATATCGAGCGGGATGACAGATTCGGTGCTTGAGGAGACCTCGACTGAGATTTATGGAGGGGTGGTGTGCATACTAGATGGAGATCTTGCGCCAGAGGCCTACTCAATATGTTAGCATCTCATGTTTTTTCCCTCCATATTGTATCTAGTCCGGGTCCTCCCTTCGCCGCTCGATGGGTCAATTGAGCCCAATTGGCTCCCCAAAACTCGAAACATTGAAGTATGTCGGATTCGAACAGGGCGGAGAAACGAACCGGTGGTTTGCGCGGCGTGGTGCTTGGCAGCCTCACGCTCCTTGATGAAGGCGTTCTCGGTGGTGCTGGCGAAGCGGCGCTGGACGGTGGAACGGACTGCCGGGGCGCGGGCGGCACGCGCGGCGGCGGAGAGGAGCTGGCGCTGCATCTTTGTGTTTGGAAGATATCGGTGGAGGGGAGAGGTTTCGATTTCGGCCGGGTGGGCGTTGGTGGTGGATTTCGAGGTTTTGTGAAGTCGGGAGTCGGAGGATCAGGTCATTCTCTATCCAGAGCTCGGCTAGCGGGAACGTTCACGGCCTTGCAAGTGCCTGGTTTGTAAGGCCTAAAGATGGCTTTTGGGGATGACTAAATGATGTCAGGTCATTTGCGGAGAAAGCAGGAAGGGAGGGCCCGGGTTCGGTACGTACCTCCACCAACACCAGATGCTCGTCTCGGCTTACCTTCCTGACTTCGACTCAGATACCTGACTTCTTCATGTTGAATGATCAAAAAAGAATTAGTGCAATAATTCTAGGAAATTTATTTGCACTGAGAGACACATGATTAAGATAGAGGAATATGTCGCGTTCATGTGTTGCAGCAACTTGCAGTATGTCGCATTTAGTCACGTGCGTAGGCAATCACGGGACACCGCGCAAACCGTCGCGTTCACCACTTCAATGACGGCAGCTACGTCGCGTTGACCAGGGCTTGACAGTTTAATTGAGGCGTCCCAGCGTCGGTTCTCATGCAACTTGATTCTTTTGAAATTCAACTCACAATTTTGATACCCTAGTCATCCATTTCCACAATTGGAGGCGAAGATAGCACTTAAACCTCTGAGCTTGATGCAGCAACCCAACCTTTGACATCTCGGGCATGGGCATGAAAGCGACGTGATATCGGCGTTTGTGAATTCAAGTCTTTTCTAATCGTGATATCAGGAGCAAACAAATCATCGGCCAGGATGGGGTTGCGTATTGTGACATGGAATGGTGAGTTGGGTCCCTATCATTTGACAGATGTTCCCGCTCGCTCACGATCCTTGTATCACAGTCAATGGCATCAGGTATGTCTCCTTCAACTGAGGATATCCATGTACTTCAATTGACACTACCGAGAAATCCGTTTGGGTATCAGCCATGGAGCACACAACGAACATTTCAGGTCCGTTATCCTCTTTCCTCGCGGGTTCCCACTTGTTACTGACAAAAGCTTATAGGCAATGTTCGAAACCCTCGAGGCGGACATCGTAGTCATGCAAGAGACGAAAATTCAGCGCAAAGACCTCAAAGATGACATGGTACTAGTACCTGGTTGGGATGTATTCTTCAGCCTACCGAAATACAAGAAGGGTGAGCTCACAGCGGTCATCGTCCCTCAGTATGTTTCTCACCTCTCACCCCAGGATATTCCGGTGTCGCGATATATACCCGGAACGCAACATGCTGCCCCATCCGCGCCGAAGAAGGCATCACAGGCGTCCTTCCAGTTCCAAACTCAACTACCAGCTTTCGCGACCTGCCTGAAGACCAGCAGATCGGCGGCTACCCGCGCGCGAGCCAGCTCTCCAGCGAAGTAGATGAGGCGACGCTCGACTCGGAAGGCCGGTGCGTCATCCTCGAGTTCCCGGCCTTTGTGCTCATCGGCACCTACAGCCCCGCCACCCGCGACTCGTCTCGCGACGACTTCCGACTGGGTTACCTCGGCGCCCTCGATGCACGCGTGAGGAATCTTGTCGCGGCCGGGAAGCAGGTCATCTTGACGGGTGACCTCAACGTCATTCGCGAGGAGATGGACACCTGCAACCTCAGGGAGACGCTCCGCAAGGAGGGCATGACTGTGGAAGAGTGGATGCAGGGGCCAAGCCGTCGGTTCATCAACCAGCTCGTCGTCGGTGGCCAGGTCGTCGGCGAACGCGATGAAGGAAAGGAGACGCCCGTCCTCCATGACTTGACGCGTATCTTCCACCCCACCAGGCAGAGCATGTTCACTTGCTGGGACACAAAGAGGAATACCCGCCCGGCGAACAACGGCAGCCGGATAGACTATATCCTATGTTCGTCGGGCATCAAGGACTGGTTCACGGACTCAAATATTCAGGAGGGGCTGATGGGATCGGACCACTGCCCCGTATTCGCAGTCATGAATGACGTCGTCACAACGGACGGTAAGGAGTCACCCGTACTCGACGTGATGAACCCCAGTGGTATGTTCCACGACGGTAAACGGCTGAGGGAATGGTCACCAAAGGACCTTCTTCCCCTATCCGCGAAACTCATCCCTGAGTTCGACCGAAGACGCAACATCCGCGACATGTTCATGAAGAAGCCCACCCCGAAGCCCGCACCAAGCCCCGGATCGACTCCTCTCGAGTTACACAGTCTTCCAACCGAAGATGGTGGCGACTACCCCGTGACGACTCAAGAGACGCAAGACCCGGAAGCCTCGCAGGCAACCACGACGACCGAAGACGTGCCCGCCGCCTCACAGGCATCCATGCAGTCCAACACGGCAAGGTCACCACCCCCCAAGTCGACACTCTCCTCGTCACAAAGCACCAACCCGCTCGTAAAACGACCAGCCGAATCGGCAGCATCAGCTAAACGAGCCCCCAAGAAGTCGAAAACCAACGAATCCGACGGTAAGGCCCAGAGCACCCTCATGGGCTTCTTCAAGCCAAAGAACCCGCCACAACCACCACCAACCCAGTCTTCGCCCACTCAAGCAGACGCGGCAAAGACCAATCATCCACCATCGCCCTTCACCAAGAACAAAGCCGCAAGTGATGGTGGTGCTGCTGCTGGACCTATCCGGTCCCTCTCGGGACTATCAGAAGCGGTGGGCACGGTAGAACAACCCGGCAGCAACGGCGGCGGCAAAGAACTCACGCCTCCTTCATCCTCCGCGAAGCCATTCGAGACGGCGACGTCGGAAAAGGTCTTTGACCCCATCGAAGTCAAGGAGTCTTGGTCAAAGTTCAACCTGGGAAAGAGGGTCGTGCCAAAGTGCGAGCACGGTGAGCCCTGCATCAGCTTCCAGACCAAGAAGCCGGGCGTCAACTGTGGTAAGTCTAAACCCAACCACACCACACACACGCCTTACCCCCTTCTTACTCGTTTATGCGTCCACCGAGGCCTCTGTCCTACCCTCCTCTCTCTCGTCCCCCGACATATGCCGATCTTTCTGCCCCCGCCCCCCCTCGACCCCCATTCATAGCTGATGATCCACATAGGCAGGTCGTTTTTCATCTGCGCCCGTCCTCTGGGGAAATCCGGAGAAAAGGAAAAGGGGACGGAGTGGAGGTGCGGTACTTTTATATGGAGCAGTGATTGGAAAAAGAGCCAGTCTCAAGCGTCGTAGTCTATACATTTCTAAGGGGCGATGTGGAGTCACGCGAGATTCGATGAACAGTGTAACGAGCTGTAACCGTTACTATCGAAAAGAGACAGCTAGGTAGTTTAGCCGTGCAGAAGAAGAAGATTAAGGCAATGAGACATGAACATTATGATTCCATTATCGTTTTAGTAAATCTATCAAGCATTCTATATCGGTATTGTGGTGGCTCATCTTCGTATCATGGCAGAGTTAGACATCCGATTCTTCGGCAGCGACGACGCGAATTGCTCTATCCTTTCGAGTCTTGCTCTGCTCGAAGTAGCTCACTCTTTGCTTGAACCCCATCAAGAGCGTCGCCACCGTCTCCGCCCAATGATGCGTCCGGAATTCGCCCATCTTGTGAGTAGAGCAGGTAAAACTCCACGAAGTGGCTTTGGAGCCTTGCACCAATTCGAGCCTTTCTTGGTCTCGACAGGCCCCTAAGTTAGCAGAAGAAGTCTCTTTTGCTCCGGCTGACCATGGTAGGGGTGAGTGCCGGGCACGGCATGTCTGCTTAGTTCTGGCCCGAACATCAAGTGTTGGTGTTTTTTCGACTTTCTCGGCGCGAGCTGGGACATGGCTCTGAGGGAAGACGAGGCATACTCGGCCTAAGGCAGCAGACGAAGGTGCTCCTTCGCGGCAACTTGTAGTCGCGAAAGTTCTTGCACAGTCATTGAGACCTAGCATGGTAGAAACTAATGCAGCGACGTTGTGATGGATCGCTTCTTGCTCCTACGATCCTTGATCTCCATCTCTAGAACGGGGTGGCAGGGACGATTAGGCTGAAGTGCTCCTCCGGTTGCGACGACGCTTCTCGGAAGGCTTGCGTGGCGTATACCGATAGTCAGGGTGCATCTTGTTGTGGCGCTCCTTGTAGGCTTTCGCGAGAGCCTTGTATCTTTCGCGGACTTCATGAGACTCATTATTCCAAGCTTTTCCTAGGATTCCGGCTTTTCAAAGGTCAGCGAGATGGTGCAGGGCTGTTGAAATTCAGTCACCTACAGATATCATTGTTCTGGAGTTGAGGGTTCATCTGCTTGATTTGGGCTTGATAGTCGCTGCGGTAGAGGATGAAGGCGTTGGGAGGTCGTGTGATCTTGACTCTTCGTTCAGGAGCGTTGACGAACTGGGTGGTTGCACCGGGTGCTTCCTCGAGGAGTTGTGGTGGTGGTCGAGGGACGACGACAGCAATACCGTTGACGGAGACAATCATGTGTGGACCGGCAATGAACCTCTCACAAGGCCCAAGAACCCATCTATCAACGCTAGAATGCATTCCGTCCTTGACCCACATGACAGGCTGGCCCAATATGCGCCTGTGATGAATGTTAGGGACTTTATGAAAGAGTGGTATTAGACAGGCACAAAGTAGATATGGACGCGTACCCCATCTGCAATGCCATGAAGAGCCGACCCTCCTCGCCAAAAGCAAAGTAATCTCTTGCAGAGACAGCTATGGTGGACTCGAATGTGTTGAGGCGAAGGTCCAAGATCTCTGTCACAATCTTTAGGATCTCAGGGTGCACATGGGTAGGATCAATGTCACGAGCAACGATGTTGCCAGGGTTGAATGTCAACGCCATGATGAATGTAACGCGGTGTAAGGTAGAATGCCGTATCAATAGGTTGTTAGGGGGTGTCTTGCGTGTCTTGTGTCTCTTGGAGATATTGAGTAATAGATCAAGTAAGGTTCTGATAAAGTGGTGACTTTTTTCTGGGCTGTGATGGAAGAATCTTGATTTGAAGCTGGCTGTGCCGATGGTCATAAATAAGAGATCAGATCAAGCGGAATCCAACGTGGATGCGGATGGCAACGGATGATATCCGGGACTTATGGCGGGAGAGATTTGAGGGAGACAACATGGTCCGCACCAGGATGTTTCTGGAGTAGCCCATGGAGGTGGAAGGAAGTCCTAAATTGGGGGAGAAAGCGCCACCTTCCCCTCAGGAAGCGACGAAGTCACCTCATAGAATTGGCCGAGGACGGTTGGTTGTGGTGTGGAAGGCCTAGTAATTTGTGTGGGACGATGTCTTGAGGAGGAGGAAGGGGGAGGTGAAAGCTACAGGGGGGGGGTGTACGTGGGTGTACGTGGGTGTAGGTACGTGTGTGGGTGTGTGTAAGTGCGCGTGTGGTGGTTGCTTCCCACTCCAGGTCTGGCCAGACACTACCTTAGACTTGCCGGGGTTGTCTTTCCTCTTCGGATGGAGGTGGGTGAAAGCTCTGGGGGTGTGAGAATACCCAGGTACTTGTCATACCTTACCTCTCGTCACCTTACCTTACTTTACTCACCTTCCTTACCAACGTGCCTGCCTTACCAAACCCATCTGTGCCAACCTCGAATTTGGAGATGGGGACCTCCACGATCGGATCCCGGTTTGGGACACGGTATCTCTCACACTATGCACACTTGTATCCTTCGAGGGGCCTGTCTCTCTTCAATCACCATAGGTATCCAGGAGGCTCCCCTCTGATAGAACGGTACTTTGTCTGGATCACGGCCCGAAGATGCAGGTACCTCGGCCTGGCTCAAGCAACAGAAGCCAGGCTCACCTTACCTCACCGCGAGCCCACGCAGCAAGCCTCCGGCTGTCATCTACCTTACCTTGTCAACGGCCGCCGACGTTCCCTTGGCGAATCTTTGTGCTCCTCCGTCCTCGGCACTGCCAGCTGCAGCCTCCCTTCGCTACCACTACCTTGGCTTACTTCACAGATACCTGCGGCAGTCTCTATTCAAGGATATCCCCTCTTCCCGCATATGCTTGACCTGCTGCTGATTTATACCAGAAGTCAAGAACCACCGCTTTGTGTCCTCTCCGCGTTGGCGATCCTCCAGCCGTGCGCGAGTACTATGATGCTGAAGCCGTCCCGAAACCGCGTCCTAAAGGGCCTAGAAAGTCTGGGGACTGTATCAGTCGTATCAACGCTGGGGGCACGAGGGGATGTAGCGAGCAAGCTAAAGCCTTCTATCACACGTTACTTGAGCGTACGTGTTTGTACAATTCAGATCGCCGACTCGGTGATCATTCTCTCAGCATCACGTCTACGGCTCAACTCGATCACTCGCTCTCATGCTGATAACTCCCTTGTGTCCCTGTCGCCTGCGCGCTTAGCGGGCTGTGCATACGAGTTGAAAGAAACCAACGACGCACACAACGTTTTCTCTCGCGTATAATTCCCTGCGACGGCGGAAGCAACACCAACAGCCCGGTTGAGAGTCAAGCAGAAAGCATATGTGCGGCGGTCAGTGCAAGGAACATGCCAGGCTGGCTTCGACACAAAACGTTTGCCCGCCAACTTGAGAATTCAGCATCCTGGATGAGAGTATGGCATCGCCCGTACTCGATGACATGTACCTGCATCTCAATCAAAGTCGTAAGCCAACGTATCACAGCCCCAGATTTGCACAAGCTGTCCAAACTGCTTTTACGAAGTTTTGACGACGAGATGGGATACTTGTCGGGGACGAGGCAACAGTTGACTTGTAGCCTCTTTTCGAGAATTTCCCGCCGCACCACATTGTGCAAATTCTGCTAGCTCAATAAGGCTTAGGCGAATCGGCGAGGTGTAATTGCTTGGATTGGTTTGTTCCTGTCACGCTTGTCTCCAAGATACTCCAGTGTTTGGGCCAGCCTTTCCCCTAAAGTCTCCGTCAGATGTTATCGCGAGCGCTGCATTCGGTCAAGGGTCATTTTTGGCTTATACAACCTGGTGCTGTCTCTTCTTTCTTTTCTCATCGCGCCCCCAAAAAGCTATTTTGACCTCACCTTCTTACCAGGTTCCCACTATCATTTCTATTTTGTACTTGAGACTCCCCACCATCCCTACATGCATTTACACCACACTTACCGCCACTATCCGCTCACCACACTTACCGCTTCGCCTTCGCCAACAATCTTGTGCCCGTTCTTTCAAGGCACAATGTCTCACAACGAGGAATCATCACCGACGGAATCCCGTGTTGTTTTGAGGACCCAGGGTATGAACGAAGTCTTACCGCGTCATGATCTCGACATGTTCACGTCTGCTGGAACGTACCCGCACGGGAGTTGGGAGGTCTCTGAGGTCGGTCAGCCTCACCAATTCCAGGCCGCTTACTGCGTGCGAGATGCTCAGGGGCAAAAAGTACGCGTGCCAATACCACTGGTCAGCCTCTCCGCAGTTACAAATCAAGAAGAAATTTATCAGCACTGCACAGTCTATCACTATGATCCGAGTGAGTTGCGCGATTGGGAAAATGACTTTTCAAAAGCTGATCTTGAGCAGCATGCCAGAGCCGACGTAACACAGATCACCACCAGACAGCTTCCGCCTTTGGCCAGCAGCAACACCATCTCAACAATGCTCTGTTACAGGAGCAAAGCAGTTACCAACCGACAGCATTGGATGTCCAGGTGATGGATCAACAGCACATTCCTTTCGACGTCCCGGCCGATGATTTTTCTCGGGGAAGTGCTGCCCTCTTTTCTAGTCCGCCAGCATATTCATCAATAGCGGCACAGCGCGCGAGTCCCGTGGAAAAAGACAGGGGAATGACGCGAATATCGACACATGGCTCAAATATTATCTGCTTTCCATCGGATAACGCCACTAGTGAATATTCACGTCGGGAGGATTCGCTGGTTGTCAATACTTCCCACAGTAACTCATACCATGAGGCACTTCAGCATTCCGCGGCAGACAATCTCAGTGGGCTTGGGCTATTCACTCCTCAAGAATCACTCGACACGGGCGTCCACGGAGAGAATTTCACGATGAATGACTCTTTCACAACTATGACGCTTTCGCCCCAGACATTGTCACTGGATGAACAGGCATTCGACGAGCTTTTTCGCCAGAGGCACGATGCCAGCTATGACTTTGACGAAACCAATGTAAGAGGCAATCCAAACGAGGTGGGAGATGGTTCAGCCACGGCCAAGAAGGAATGATGAAACTTTGCCTTGCTCGTTTTTTGAATTTTCTATTTGTCGGGTTTAGGCATGGGAGGCAAATTGAGGACAGTAAAGAAGGAAAGTTGGGGGCCATTTTCTGCAATGGGGCTACTATGACGGAGTTCAGGGTAGGTGGAAAGGGCAAACGACCATTTCTTCATTCTTCTGAAACAGTAGAGGCCGACTCAAAGGAGCTAGCTGCTGATCTTCAGCAATGAGTTGACCGCCTCTCCAAGCGCAAACGTACTACAGTCTGGCTTTGGAAAGGCGGTGGGGAGCAAAGGCAGGGACTAGGATTTGGTGATGGCCATACCCTTTCTTGCGCCAGTTGCCATCATTTCACGTGGCTGGATCACTTTAGGATAGGCATGTTGATCAAGAATAATGAAAGAAGCAATTTGGGCAAAAGAATTCAGACAGAGTACTTGCATACTTACCCTTCACGCGTCTGCCCCTGTCAGATTATGCGGAGAGGTCGATGACCACGCACGCCAATGGAGACAGCCGGAGCAAACCAGAGCCATGTGATGCTGGAAGAGGCCTGGAAGAGAGCTGTAGGAGGGAGCAAACAACAAAGGAACCTTGATGTTCCAACGGTGGTTTTCGTGAAGGCCATTATGATTGGTTACCGAGAGATGCAAGAAGGAGCAAACGTTGGTATGTTGGCTGCATGATTGGGGGGTTAGACGAGGGACGTCGAGATTAGCAGCCGGGCTAAACCCTATTGGTTCAGCCTCAGCCAGGCTATGGACATGGGTACCTTGTCGCCCTTTCCTGCCCGCCCTGTGTGCCTGTGGGTACATGGCCAAGGACGCACAGATCGTCCCATCTGGCACTTACCCACTCTGTCACCCACTGCTGCGTTCCACGGGCCCATTTCTTTCCCCGAAGCTCAATCTGCTGTCTCACCCTTCAAATATGCGGGAGAGCTATCGCAAGATATCACCACATCATCACGGAACAAGGGGAAAGGGAGCAGAAGAAGAACAGGTTCCAAGTACACTAGGAGAATTACCACCCACACCTGCCACGCCTCACTCGTATTGCAACTCACATCGAGCCTGATGTGGTGGGCACATCCCTCCAACTTCCAATGCAGGACAACCTGACCGCAAGAACAAAGCCACCAATGCCATACTCCATAGCCGCGCCAGCAAACATCTCCCCGCATTGGTCGAGATCGACGCCTGGATCTAGCACTTTGATGGACCCGAGTTCCTTGCAACGCCAATGATGTTGAGACAGGGAGAAGGCTGCGCTGCGCTTCAAGTGAGCGAGCGAGAGAAAGAGAGAGACCGTTGGTTGACTGGGGGGGGGGGGGCCTTTTGGTTAAGCCACTACCTCGGACTCAAGATGTGTGGGCGGTCCGCTCAGTCTGCATCAACGCAGTACTGTCGTTCATCCCTGCCTTCGCTTCATGCAACGCATGCTGGCTCAAGAAGGTATAGTTGGTTGCGGCCTTACTAGCCTCTTCCCTGCTCCGCCTTCTTTCTCTCTCTTGTCTTCCAAGCTTTGCCTTCATCGACGAGAGCAAAGAAATGGAAAGAGACATTGTTACTAGTCCAGCCTTCTCCATCAGCATCCAGACACTCTGTGGCATCTGTACGCATCAGCCACCTTCCCTGACTTGCGACATCCCGCAGTCTGCAGCCACAGCCCCGGCAACGGGGGGCAGTCGGAGTCATTCACGGGTTTACCCTCCTTCAGATTAATCGAAGTGTATGCTACTTATTTTTAATTCCATCTCGGCAGGTCAGGCCACCTCCCTCACCGACATCATCTGCCGAGTAAAACGAAGGCTTAGACCGCAACTGTCGACTGATACTTCCAAGATATGCACACGGCTCATTCCGGTTCCTTCAACCCGCCTATACGTCCGATTTCGACAAAGTGATTAGCAAACTGTACGTATCGAGGGCAAGAAACCGTCACCGCCTCGAACAGACATGAAGACCCTAGGATCGGCAAGAATTGTCCGTCCTGGCCGCCGCCATGACGACCACTGACACCATACAAGAGAGAAACGCCTGAGAATATCCGCAGATAAGCAGGGAGGAAACAAGAACAGATTCGCCTGTACCCCACCAGGCAACATCCGACGGATCCCGCAAGACGTTTATAACCAACTAGCGGTACCTGGTTTCCGTCCGACGGATCATCCTCAGGGTCAGCGTTGACATTCCTACCGAAAGCCACATCGACGGCCCCCCAACTTTCATGAACCCGGTACTTGACCCTATACTGCTATTCCTCGCCAAGATAGGCGGCCGCCCTGGGGCTGTGACAGTCATGCGCTGCGTGACTGGAGCGCCCTCGGACTCCACTACCAGACTAGGATCCCGCCGTGGCTATGGTCCGATGTTCTCTCTACTTCTCTGTCCTAGTGGAATTTCAACTTCGCTGGCTGGATTGAAGTTTTGAGTGCCTTCAGCTGTTTCCTTCTACCTGGTTCGCGTCTTGGCTCGCAAGGGTTGCCGATACGAACGCAGTCGATAGTAGTGGTCCTTGGCTGTTTACCATCAACCACTAAGAAGAAGGAAGTCGAGACCAGAGGAGCAGATCTGAAGCGTCAGTCTTGTTTGTTGCGGGAAGGAATCGACAAGATTACTCACTGCACCGATTCTAACATTAGAGCAAGATGCTTGACATAGAGCAACGGTCGAGACAGGGATTATTTGAAATTCCAGTCTGCTTTAGCCTGGTAGGAGACAAGACGGAGGCAGAGTCGCCGATCACTTTATTTCAGGGCCGCAGTCAGTATCCCATGAGGAAGCGCAAAGAGTTGGCAGTGACAGTTAAGAGATTGGCCCTAGGCGCGCGTTCGATGATGTGACTGTACACAAGCTGGCTACTCTTAGCCGACATGGCGTACTACGCCGCCCTCAGGATACGAACGGAGACTACGTTACGTGGGAAATTTATCGCGCGAAGATGCTGCCATACGTGCTGTACAGGCGCCTTCTATGAGACAGGACCATTGGCGACTTATACGGCCGCGCTTCGGTGGCTCTTGGTCGAAGAATGGATCATTTGCGTGTGGTCACACAACTCTTTTGTCACAAAGATCGTGAATCCGTGACAGGCTGCGATCCGAGCCTTCCAGCAGCCATTTTCGACGTGGCTGCGAGCAACCCCTGGACTGCCCCGCCCCAAGTCTTTTGGTCGCCGTTCATAAACTCAAGGATGCGTCCTAATCGGATTGCTTGCAGGCTCACTTCAACACTTCCCCCTAGCCCTGTCCATCACCTGTACTTCCTTGTTTGTGTGGACACCTCTTGTCCGGCTCGACTTCGGGACCGAACCTTCATCTCGTGGCCTCCGAGCAGGGCTGAGCGACCGGGATCAAAGGGAGCAAGGCAAGACGTCTCGGCCAGGGAGTAGACGACTCGACTTTCATCAAACCGTGCCAATAACGTAAAGCAAACGGTTTCTCTGGGACTAACATGGCGTCTCACCTAACCTTGGCGTCTTGGCAATATGGCACAATCTTGAGCAGGATGAAGGCGCCAAAGCTTGCGCTAACTCAACAAAAGAAGCCATTCTTCACCAGGAACCCGGTAGCCACCTCCTCCTGGTCGCCTTCAGCGGGTTCCCGCCAATGTGAAGGCTCTTTTACCGAGTCTGCTTCCCTGGCGACGAAGGGCGACTGAATTGAACCGGGTGAGAGCACGTACCGCCATCAATCAAAAAAGCCTTATCGGCCCTCAAGAGGCCACAGTAGGGATGATGCCCGCCTTGCAGTCGATCCTTTTACGGAGAATCTTTATTGAATGTAAATACAGAGTCTTCTTGCAGGCAAAATAAACGAGCCAGAATACTCGAAATTCGCTGACTGGGCGAGCTTTCCACGCTCAAACCTCTTTTGCTGACTACCAAACTAGGTCATCCTAGGTTGCCCTGTATTTTCAGAGTCTGGGGTAACCTGACGGACGAAGTCTAGGTGAACGTTTGATGAACGGAATAGGAAAATGCTTTGGTTCTCGATCGTTCTCATAGCGTCAGTGCGGTCGACCTGGAATCAGTCTCTTCTCCGCCTGAATCATTCACAGAGATACGTCGTAGAGGGGTCGAAAACAAGCGCATTGCTGCTTACCGACTAGCGTCCGATGAGAATATAGCTACATGCTATCTTTTTTTTTCTGGAAGACACCACGAGAGGACAGCAGCGAGAGGAGTCGATGTGTGATTAGGTGGGCATCTTCCGACGAAGGGGGGAGTGCGCGTTCCTCTCAAGCCGTCGAAGCCACGGGTCCCGCTGATGAAGTTGGAAGCCTCAACTTCGGACGGACAGCGGAGACCCCGGGAGCCTTCGGGAGGTGGACTCGCGCTTGAAGCCTGAAGAGGGCCCGCGCCAGATCTCGGGGAGCCGGGCCCTTCTCCGAAGCAGCGGGAGGCTTAGTGCCGGCGCGGGAACTCTAGTGTCTGAGTCAACGCGGGATCTCGGACGGCTTAGACCTGAGTCAAGTGTCTGAGAGAGAGATTTGGATAGACTGCAGAGCCCAGCACCACTACTACCTTACTTCCCGTCGTTGGGCTGGCTGGATGGCTCGCTTACACGGCTTCGGTTGTGGAGAAATACCAAGGCCAAGCCGCGTGCCGCATCGACGCAAAACGTAAAGCTCGACCGCAGGAGACCAACTTGTTTCGTTGCGTGCCGTGGGATTTTTCTTCTTCGCCAATGAATTCTTTTTCGACAGTGACAGCTGGAACGATGGCGATTGGGTCGGGGAGGAATGATCTGGGGAGGGTGCTAGAGCTGCCCTGTCGGGTCGGACGGCTTTCACGGGACTGTTGGACAGGGCCTGTTGGATATACGCCCTTTCTTGCGTAAAACATAGAACGAAGGGGTAACGCGCGTATCCGACTGTTGTGAATGATTTACGGTGATGCCGATGAGAGTCCATCTTTTTGATACGGTCGCTTGGATGTCAATGTTTCGAAGAGCGTGAGATGTTTGCTGCTGTTTAACATGATTACTTCTGAAGACCCAAGGAAATGAGAAACTGTAGCGAATTTCAAAGAAACCATGAGATTTTCCTGGGTAGATTGGGCCTCAGTGAACCATATCTAACACAGGTTGAGAGAAACATGGAGAGAAATATCTATGTTCCTCGCCGTGGGGTAGCTTCTCCAACACCTCCAAGACAACTAGTGAAACACAACTTTACATTTCATATGATGATATGAGAAGGAGACAACATGACATCGTCATAATTCATTCTCTCCAAACCTCTAACCGGACCATCTTCCCGGTAATCCCGCAAGACGCAGAGAAAATGATTCCAAAAATGCCACAGTGCTAACCGAATCCCAGGGACCGATTCAAGAGTCTCGCTGGGCGTGCTAGGGAAGCTTGAGACCTTCATGAGAGGGGAGGGTACCTCAACCGTCGTCTCGAGATACTTGTTCGTATTTCACTCTTCACTCCTCTCTCATTCTCTCTAGAGGCTTTTCCCGGTTAGGCTTCAGAGGGGTGGACTTTGCAAACGCCACAGGTGTGACGATGATACACGATGCCATCCACAGCCTAGCTTTGGCTTTTCGTTTTTCTCCTCACGTCTCCGAGAACCGGGTTGACAGGGCAAACCATCTTCCCACGGGTTCTGATTGTGTTCCTAGGGTAGGTACTTAGTAGGTGGAGGATGGAGGGAATGGCTTCAAGCCATGCGCAACCCCTCCGGAATGAACCCGCTGCAAAATCCCAAGGCACCAGGTCTGTAAGGCAAGGCAGGGTGGGAGGATGCAAAATGCCACTCAATCGGACGTGTTCCCTCTACCGGAGTATCAAAAGGGGAGGGAGGGGTGAGAGCTCAGGATGCGCGAGAAAAGAGGCGTCCAAGGGTTGCACATTTAGGCTTCTTCTTAGCCCGGGTCAACTTCCAACGGAGGGGCTTGACAAGGGAACATAAAAAAGGCTGGAGGATTCTTGTTGTCCCCTTTTCCCACCCCTCACCCCTCCTTCGTCCGTTTTCAGCCTTGCCTTGCCATGCGTGGTCCGCTACTAGCGACAACCGAACCCGCGCACCACCGATTCGTATGAAGCAGTGCAGGATAGATGGTCCGGAGCATGAACCCTGAATCTGTCGTGGTTCTGGGTACGCCATCACGGGGTGTGGAGGAAGTACGATAGGTAGGAAATTTGGGTGCAAGCCTCACATAGCCATGTGAGGAAAGCCGAGAAAAAAGCCACGCTTGACTTACCACGCACCTTTTGAACGGGAGACAAGATCTGGGAGTAGATCCGGAGATAGATTCGGAGACCCGAAGACCGGGTTAAGGGTTAAGGGTGGAGGTAACGAGGCTTGAATGTACCGTAGAGTTTCCCTCAGAACATCATCACATCTGCTGGTCGCTCTGCCCTGGGTGAACGCTCAAGCAGATTCAACACACCCGGCACAAGAAAGGGAGGTTCAACAAAAAACTTGTATCAAATAGATGACCTATGCTCCCATCACCTCACACGAGAAGAGATCTTCGCCCCACTCCGGAATTATCTACCGGGAATGGAGGAGAAATAGATCTTCAATGAAGAAGGATGTTCAAATGATAAACAAACACCTCCCCTCCCGTCCTTTTGCGAAGAAGAAACGACCGAAGTACACCGAGGTATGATGATCCCAGATAGAACTGCGAGAAGAAGGCGACCCCGTAATCCACAAAAGATTCGCGCTCCTTCTCCCTCTCGTCGGAGTCCAACTCCGGGCCGTGGAACGTAAAAAATGACTGCCGCTACGGATACTGTGGCTCACGTTGTCGGCGCGGCAACCCCCTAGTCCTCCTGGTAAGAGATCTTGCGCATCTCTCCTAGCCTGTGTCTTGCGGCCGAGAGGGAGTTCTCCAACTGCAGAATCTCGACCTAAAAGTGGTAGCGCCGCACGCGTCAGCATTTCTCTTTTCTCTTTCGGTCGCCAAGCAAGGCACTAGCCGCAAATGACGAGGATGGCTGCGACGGAGTTGTCTCCGGCCACCGCCATTATACGGCAGTTGGCATAGTTCACGATGCGCGAATCAATTAAACGTACCTGTTGCTCCATCTCCCGGACCTTGAACTCGTGGGCTCCGAGCTTGGAGTAGTCGACCGCCTCGTCCTCCGCGTTGCGGTCCTTGATCATGTTCTGCACCTGGCGCACGAGCGCCCTGCATGCAGCACCGACAGCCTTGCTGGCCTGCTCGAGGTTCTCTTGGCTCTTGGACATGAAGCCAGCCTTGACTCTGCTGGCGGCGACGAGCTGAGCCGTGGAGGCTGCCACGTCGTTGGATGCCACAATGAGCTGCTCGGGGCTGTTGCGGTTCGACAAGACGCCGTCTGCGGTCTCGATCAGGGTGTTGGTGGAGGACGCCACGGCCTTGGCGGCTGAAATAAGACCCTCGGTCCATCTGTTGTTCTTCTTGTAGAAGGCGGTTCTCGAGGACGAACCTCGGCCTGCCTGGACAATCTCCTGCTGCGTCACCGTGGCGGCCTTGATCAGCTGCGCAATGGCGTTGGTGATGGCCATGGCGGCATCGAGAATGCCGTCGTGGACCTTGAGCTCGTAGGTAGAGTACCCTTCGCGAGGCTTGTTCTTCAGTTTGGCGAGGCGAGCAGCAGCGGCCGCAATGGCATCGGCCGCCTTGCTGAGTTCAGAATCGACAATATCGCCCAAGTCGCCCTTGCCCGCGAGCTTGCCAGTGTTGGGCGCGAATGTCTCGACAAGCTTGTTCAGCTTTTGAAGGTTCATCTGCACCTCGTTATTGCTGTTGATGACAACGTCGGTCTTCTGGATGGGATCCATGCCCTCCAGGCGGAAGCTCTGAAGGCCGCGGAAAAATTTGACGGTAGAAGAAGCGGACTGCCGGGTGCCGTTCATCAGAGCATCGCTCTTCTTCTCGTCGGTTGCCAGACGGGTGATACCCTTGGCGTTGCTGCAGACATCCGCAAGAGCACCAGCAAAGACGTTGATGGCCTTGATAAGCTCGGCGTGTGTCGCGTTGGGGCCGTCGGCGATGAAGTTGTTGAATGCCGTAGCAAACTCCATGGCGCTGGACGAGGCCTTCTCAATCTGCGAGAGCACGTAGGATGGAGAAGCGTTCTGGTTTCCTGCCTGCATCGTTGAATCCAACTCGTAAAGCGCATCATCTACTCTCTGCACACCGGATTGCAGGACAGAGTCGATGATGTCGTTGATCTTGTCCAGGTTGGCCATGATCAAGGCATCAATCTGTCCGTCAATAACGGTGTCGGTATCGCCTTGGTTCAACTTCAGCTCGTTGAGCTCGATAAGTGTCTGATCCATGCCGGCCTTGTAGACTTCCAACTCCTCCTCCTTGTCGCGAAGAAGCTGTTCAAGGTCAGAGTCTCCATTCCTGATCTTGGCCTGGGCGTCGTCTAGAGCGCGAGACTTGAGTCGCAGGGCCTCCTCAAGATCGGCCATCTCACGGTTGTACTTAGACAACATTGTTGAGAGCTCGTTTCCTTTGCTTCTCTCGATGTTATCGGCACGATCCAGGGCCATGCGGAGCTCTCGCTTGAGCTTTTCGAGCTCATCCTTGTTGGCGCCTTGCAGGCGGTCCTTGTCATGAAGCGCGCGGTCCCTCTCTCTGATCATATCAGCGAGCTCAAGGTTCTTCGTCTTGATCTCGCGTTCAAGCTTCTCTCGCCGTTCAATAGCCTCCTGAGCTGAGGCAGCCTTGAGCTGCACAGACTTGAACTTTTGGAGCAGATCCAAGTGCTCGTGGCGAAGCTGGGAGTACAGCTTTGCGAGCGCTTCGTACTTCGTCCGCCACGTGTTAACCTGCTCCTGTAGAGCTCTGATTTGCTCATCTTTGCTCGTGATCTGCTGGCCGTAATGTCCCTGGATCTGTGCAAGCTCATTCTCCAGACCCTTGACCCTCTGGTCGTATTGCTGGAGCATAAGCTGGTCACGCTCATACTGGGCTCTCGCATTGAAGTTCTCCTGTTCCAACTCTGCAAGCCGACCCTGGGTCTGATACTGCATTTGCTGCTGCATCAGGGCCTCCTGCTCCCTGCGCTGCTGCTCCGCCAACTGTCGCTGCTGCTCCTCAAAGTCCCGTTGTGCCTGCTGCTGCGCCTGTTGCTGCATCAACATCTGCTGACGCTGTTGTTCCTCGAGGACTCTCTGCTGCTCTTCGTACTCTCGGTTCTGGCGCTCCAGCTCGTTCTTCCAGAATTCGGAAATATCATCTGGCTCCTGTGATTTCGGTTCAGGGGGTGGAGTGGGGCGTCTCTCAATTTCCTGCTTCGGGCGCGCCGGAAGTGCGGGTGCCTCGTCGTCTTCCGCCAACAGGTTGGGAGGGTCTTGCGGCAGCTTGGGGATCGTTATCAAGCTGGTCAGATAGCGCAGGTTGGAGCACTCGTAGTAGAACTTGACGAGGCGGTAATGTTGGGCATCGTATCGTTCTCGTAGGGGCGAAAGCGCCTCGACGTCGCCGGTGGCTGTGCCCGATTAGCGAAATCACCCTTGCCCGCCTAAGGGGGGGGGGGGTCCGATGCAACTTACTCGAGTGCATGGCGCGAAGCATGCTTGTGATGAACTTGTAAATACCGTAGCTCTCCTGCACGAGGGGCACAAGAGAGGAAATACGACACTCGTTGTTTCCAACGTGACGGAAGTGTGAGAAGATCAACTTCTGGAACTGCTCAATCTTATCTTGCAGTGTCATCAAGTCTGTGATTGTCTCGTACCCCTCGTTGGGGTCGTTGATGGCCTTCAAGCTGAGGTACTCCTCGTATTCGAAGGTGCCGTTAAACTCGGGATGCTGCTGGTGGAAAGAAAGCTTGGCCAGGAGGTAGTAAACGTATTCCCGGATCAAAGGGCTGTATCCGCGCACTCCCTCTCCTCCCATGCCGCGATTCAAGCTGTCGATCCAACCTCTCTGCGCCATGGCCTCCCTCAGCGTGTTCGGGTGTCCTTCTTGGAGGACTTTGTGGACCGTAATCAGAGCTTTGAAAGTCTGAACTTCGTCGGCAAGAATGGGTTGCCTACAACGCGGCGCCGTCTGTCAGCGATCGGGCCATCTCCAGACTTACAACAGTTCACTTACACCTTCATCCCAGCCCAGAAGGCCTGAGAAGACCGGTGGTCCCATGTGTACACAATGCAGCTGCGCACATGTTTCCGCTTCGGCGCCGTCTCGTCGGGGTTCGTGGCCTTCTTGATGTTGATCGCCAACTCCTGGTCGGTCCTTCATAGAGTGTCAGTGCACAGTCGCAAAGTCGGGGAGACTGCTACGATTGGGCCACAGAGTCTCAAGATGGTTGAGGATTACGGACTTAGTATGCCTGGTATCGGGCACGGCAGCCATGATGGGCGATCCTTCGTGCGCGGGGTCGTTGGTGGTGGTCGGAGGTGAAGGGCGCTTAATGGGGGTTTCGGATGGTTCGAGGAAATGACGTCTCCCGACGGTTTAAGGAGACAGCTCCACGTACACGCAATGATGCCCAAGAATCTCAGTGAAGCCCAGTGAAAGATGTAGGGGGAGAAGAATTCGCAGGAATTGGAGGGGAAGAAGATATTGTGAGCGACTTCCGTGCCAAGTGGGAGAGGCGGGAAAGAGTCGTCAGCGTTGACCAAGCTCTCAAGATGTCTAAAGCAGCTCGAGTGTGGCTGGGTTCTGCAACATGCGCAAGCTCCGGGGATTGCGCCAAGCCGTCGTCGTTGCGATCCTCCACTGGGTTTAGGTTGGGCATGAAATCTGGAACAATGCTAATCCGGCGGACGCAGCGGTGTCAGTGTCACCCCTCCAGCGTCCCAGCGCAGGCAAAGCACCTGAAGCCACAGGCGAATGCCTGTCCGATCTAATCCCATGACGATAATGGTGGGGTTCATGCCACCAAAGTTGGTTCAAAAGGCCCCTGCACTCACAGCAAACAATCGTTGGATTCCAGAAGAACCTAACGATGGCATAACATGGCATGGCTCTAGTATCAGACAACTCGACGAGTTATCAGAAATCAACTTTGGGAAAATCCAGTGATTGTCAGGTGCATAGCAACTGGTATGTGAGAAAGGCAACTGATATGGTTTTGCGTTTGGAACGTAGCCACAAAAGCGCATTTGCGTGTATCAGGTCTGAACTAATAAGCTCCTGTCAGTGACTAGGTAGGATTGAGCCCGACAATACGAGGTTGTGCTTTTGATATTTCTGGATGGCGAGAATAGTGCAAGAGCAGAAAGTATAGCTCAATCATACCAGAGCTGCTTTATAGTTAACCGGTGTTGAGAGCCGCAGGTTGCCATCCCGCTGACTAGCAGCTCACAGAGTAGCTATAGCTCATACTCACTCAAGGAATTGGCCGCGTACGAGCTTGATACTGTGCCTGCCCAAGCGACATATGAGTTCACAATGACATAGTTGCACTTGAGAAATGATCATAGGTCGTGTTCTTCATTTGACTGAGGGTATCATGAGGGCCCGGCGGGCAGCAGGGCCAACTATTCGCCTGCCTTTCACAGGCATCTCGCATTGACCTTGCTTCCCACAAGCACACAACACCATACACCAGAACCTGTGCCAATGCCTCCGACCTGACAATGACAGGACCCGAGGCATCGCGGCAGGATCGCAAAAGGACCAACGGGTCTCACAGGTAGCATTTCCTCGTGTAGGTGTGAACGATGAAGTGTCATTGGTCTTTTTTTTCCCATTCCCTATGGACGTTGCCGAAAACGTGATGCCGTTCCATGCTAGAATTCTTCCGTTCCTCACGTAAACACCACATGCAAAAGAAGAACCCACAAACCACCCAAAAGACACTCTAAATCGTCGTCTCGTAGGGGAGAGGGGTGACCGTCTGGGGCTTGTTCTCCTTGAAGTCGACGGTGCGGGCCTCACGGGGCATGAGGGGGAGGCGCTTGAGGGTGAGGGCCTTGCCCTCGGCCTGGGCCTTCTTCTTCAGGGCGGCGTTCTCCTTGACACGGCGGATGAAGTCGTCTCTCGAACGGGAGGGGGAGATGTGCTCGACGCGGATGTTGATGCGCTTCTCGATGTAGCGGTGCTTCACCTTCTTGTAGATGATGATACCGACGGCGGACTTGGTGACGTTGTAGATGACACCGGTCTTGCCGTGGTAGACCTTGTGAGGCATACTGTAATCCAACAAGTCAGCCCTCTGCTCCTGCACGCATTATGCCTATTTTCGCAATTCCTCCCAACTAAGACCTCGAGTCTGCCAATTGTCGCAATTCGAGTTCGAGGGTGGGTTGTTCGCTTACCCCTTCTGGACGGCACCGTTGGTCTTGATGTCGACGATATCTCCGACTCTGTACTGGCGAAGGTACGTGGAGAGCTTGATCATACCCTTCTCACGGAAGTTTCTGCTGAACGCATACTGCAAGCTAACCGTCAGCAATCCGGCCGCAATCTCGAGATGATTCGTAGCTGGGCAATACGTACGCGCGTTCCCGCGCGAAGACCCGCTGGGTGACCCATTTTGCCGGAGTGGTTGTCGTAGAGGGCGGAATTTGGTGATGGTGTTGTCGGGTCTTGAAAAAGATCACGAAGTTCCAGACACAACGGGCAAGGCAAAAAATCGGCGACGTGTGTGTGCTTTGCTGACTCAGTCCCGTAATTCTTTTTTCGTTGTGAAAAGGGCACTGCACGTGATCGTAGGCGAACAGGACCCGCAATTTGACAGGCGCTAGTCAGCCCTCGCTCCCCACAGCCATTTTTCGCATTGAGTGTTGCAAGTTTCACGAGAGGCTCTTCTTTTTTTTCCTTTTCGTTTTCTTCGTCAACCACAATTCGAAGGATATCGACGAGTCGGCAAGATGGCGCCGTAAGTAGACCGAATCGCAGTCGCATCGCCAAATTCAACATGCTAATTCGATTTCGCGCGACAGCCTCACCTACTCCAAGACCTCCAAGGTCCCCAACCGTCCCTTCGAGGCCGCCCGTCTGTCAGTATTCTCCGGCCACTGAACAAGAGCTTGCTCTGTTTAAGTCGTGAATCACACCACTGACTTCGATACGATAATAGTGACTCCGAGCTTAAGCTCGTTGGCGAGTACGGTCTCCGCAACAAGCGTGAGGTCTGGCGTGTCCAGCTTACCCTCTCCAAGATTCGTCGTGCTGCCCGGTATGTGATTTCGGCTCTGTCGCAAAACGGATGCGTGAGGAACACCCTCTTGGCTAACAACCACCGCAGTCAGCTTTTGACCCTCGACGAGAAGGACCCCAAGCGTCTGTTCGAAGGCAATGCCCTCATTCGCCGTCTCGTGCGCGTCGGTGTCCTCGACGAGTCCCGCATGAAGCTCGATTACGTCCTGGCCCTGAAGGTCGAGGATTTCCTTGAGCGCCGCCTCCAGACTTGCGTCTACAAGCTCGGTCTCGCCAAGTCCATCCACCACGCCCGTGTCCTCATCCGCCAGCGTCACATCCGTGTCGGCAAGCAGATCGTCAACGTTCCCTCCTTCATCGTCCGTCTCGACTCCCAGAAGCACATCGACTTCGCTCTTACCTCGCCCTTCGGTGGTGGCCGTCCCGGCCGTGTCCGCAGAAAGAAGGCTGCTGCCGCCGAGTCCAAGGGTGACGGTGGTGACGACGAGGAGGATGACGAGTAAATGCATCGCCATTTATGCTAAGGATTGGTCAAAAAAACTCTGGGAATGGTTGGCACACCAAAATCCAACCATTGGGATCATCGGGGTGTTTATAGTCACGGCGTTCGCCAGAGGCAAAATGGAATGATTGCATCAAATACGGATACCACGAATGAATGTTACACAAAAGTCTTTTTCTTGTTCAGTTCAGGGCACCTCGAGGCATCGTCTTGCATGCGAACGTTTGACAGGGAAATGGGTATCATGTTTGTCCAATGCAATGCTCATAAGCCATGCCTGAATACCTAGGTAGTCTAGACCAATTCATCCTTGCCCAGGAACTTAGCCATCGGGTCGTTCGCCGCTGTCCTCTTTCTCCTGTACTCCTCCATCTCTTCCTCAGTAACACCGCCCATCATCTCTTCCGCTGTCCGCTTTGTCGCCGGCTTGTTCACCGGAGTATCATCCGCCTTTGGAATCTCTGCTTGTTGCTCCATCTGCAGCGCCAACGAAGCACCAGTCCGTTGCCGTTCAGACGCTTCCCAAGCCAACTTGCCCTCCTCACCCGTGCAGTAACTGTTCTTGACCACCGAGTGACAGCATTCGTAGCCCCATTGAAAATTTGACCACCAGCTGCCCCAGATAGATGTGTGATTGTGGATGTACACGTCCTCGGGGTACTTTGACTTGGCGATAACCTTGGGCGCGCCCTTGATGAGGCCGCTCTCGTCATACTCGACATATTTCTCCGACTCGGTTATGACATTCTTCAGCTCATCGGGCATGGTGTATTGCGAGTTATCGCCGTAGAGTTCCTTGAGCTTCTTCTCCCGCTCCGCACGTTTCTTCTCGGCCTCTTCCTTCTCCTTCTTCCTGTAGAACTCTCCAGCCGTGGGGTTGGCTTGCAAATGTTTTGTGGTGTCACCACTCTTCTCCTGGGCCTCCCAAGCGTATCTCTGTGCTTGCTCGAACTCGCCGGCGTCGCCTGAGCCGCGCATGAAGCCTTCCTCTGCAAAGAGATTCGCGGCCTTGTCCACCGTTGCGCCGCCGTCCACGAGGGATCTCGTCTTTGGGTCGTACTTTGCGGATTCCAAGTCCAGGTTGACCAGGTACTTTGCCGTATCCTCTCGTATTCTCAGCTGGCGTGTAGCTGTGCTCTGATGCTTGCTCATGTCGTTTTCCTCTGCGTACTTATCGCCATCGTCCTGCTCCTCCTCCTCCGTCTCGCCCTTGGCAAGCGCCTGCTTCCTTAGCTTCTCCATCTCGTTGAACTCCTCGACGACGTTTCGATACTCCTTAGGGTCGTATCCATTCCAGCGATCGCGTTTGGCATCCCAGCCAAGCTTGACGTCCTGAACGACCTCGTCGGCCTGAATGTCCCTGCCAGTCCACTTTGCGCCTTTCGCCCTTGGTCGACTGAGGCAGTCTTTGGCTTTGTGCGTCATGGCGCCGCAGTTTTCGCATGCGCCTTTCCGATACTTTGTGGCTGCCGGGCCAGCCTTGCGACCGCGATCGTACCATTGTGACTGCTCGTTTTTCTTCTGAATACGCTGATGCTCAAGGTAGTCGGTCTGGTCATCGCCTTCTTCGCCGGCATAAAAGGGACGTTTACTGATGAAAGAGGGAATGTAGATATTCTCCTCCTTTGCGGCAGCGGACGCCTTGGGGTCGGTCTTTCTCGGCGGTGGCGGCGGCGGCGGCATCTTGGCGGTTGGTAAGGGTATGAGAGGGTTGTTGCTAGAGAAAGTTTGGGCGGCGGCGCATTCACGTCGTGAATTTGGGTCGGGAAAAGCACAGGTGTTGCGGCTCCTTATGTAAGCAGTCGCTCTCAGATTTCATGCATGGCCAAGGTATTGATACAGAATGGCCTAGATTTACGCATCCAATTCTCTTTTGGTCCTCTCTTGAACAAGCACACTATATTCTTGTGGAATTGAAAATCTCAATTAATCCAACATCAAAGCTTCAAGTGTATCCGCCAGTAAGTTCATGGCTGAATCAATGATGAATGGCGACCCTATAGTGAAGTAGAAGGTGCTTAAGCCTGCTTCAGTGAGATGTGCTGGAAAATGCCCCACATCAAGGCACTTTGCTTTAGTGGATGATGGCCAGGCAGGATTGCGTCCCCAAGCACCAAAGTGTCACGCGTGTTGCCACATGACTGCGCGGACCCTGGGCGTTTCCTCTTGGTCCAGCACGCGTCGGATTCTGCATCAACATGACCTTGTCGCGTCGTGAATTCGCTGCTTAGTGTCATTGAACCCGTCTTACCATGCACCAAGCCGACCGCTGCTCTTCCTTATCATGACATTGTTCTCCGTCCTACCATCTCATCCTCCATGAGTGTTCACAGCCTCCACCATGGACCTCTTCCGCGTTCGGTTGAACTGCATAGACCACTACCAGGCGACGCCAACGCATTACGATCCCCAATTACGGAACGATGTCGGTCCTGCACAGGCGAAGAAATGCCCCAAGGTTCCGGTCGTGAGGGTTTTCGGGTCGACCGAAACGGGGCAGAAAGTCTGCGCTCACATACACGGCGCTTTCCCATACGTCTACGTCGAGTATCGTGGCAGCTTAGAGCCCGAGGATGGTATATAAGTCCTCGAACCATATAATGGACCTTGCTAACTGCTAAAAGTGGGCGCGTACATCTATCGACTTCATCTCTCTATTGACCATGCCTTGGCTGTCAGCTACCGACGTGATCAATTCGGAGAAAATGCAAAGTTCGTCGCCCGCATCACCCTTGTCAAAGGAGTGCCATTCTACGGTTTCCACGTTGGGTACCGCTTCTTTCTGAAGATCTACATGTTCAATCCCATCGTCATGACAAGGTTATCCGATCTGCTCCAACAGGGCGTTATTCTTAAGCAGAAGTTCCAACCTTACGAAGCCCACCTCCAGTACTTGCTACAGTTCATGACCGACTACAACCTGTACGGGTGTGGCTACTTGGATGTATCTGATGTATACTTCAGAGGCCCTATCCCTTCATTTGATCAAGAGGGGAACTCTCAACACCTTTGGCATGACCGGACGATTCCTAAGACTCGAGTCCTCGACGATCTGACTCTGCCGAGGGTCAGCCACTGCTCTATCGAGGTAGACATTTGCGTTCAACACATCACCAATCGGCGAATGGTGAAGGAGCGTCGGCTGCATCACGACTTTGTTGAGCGTGTTAAACCTCTCCCAGCAGATATCAAGCTTGTTTACAGTATGGCTGGTCTATGGAAAGACGAGACGCGTCGCCGCAAAATGAAAATACCCAATGCGGACCCGGGAAGCAGCCCTTTCCCTGCAGAAGTTTTGGTCTCAATGTCTGCGAATAAACGTGACTCGCAACCGCAAGGATGGATCCACGAGGAAGAGTACAGAGAAGAAGTCGCAAAACTCATTGAAATCGAAAAGGGGTTGGAAGATTCCGCGCCGCCGAGCTTTGAGACTTTCGTGGAGCGTTCGCCGCTTGAGGCTGCCGTCAAGACCGCGCTCCAGTCAGTAGAAGATTTGTATCCCGCCAACCTGCTACCGGCTCTTGGACTGCCGTCGAACCACGCTCCAGCAAACAAGAATCTAACCAGCAGCATCGAAGTTGACGAAAAGGGCGTACTCGATCTCGGTATTGACGATTACGACCCTTATCCAGCCGATTCTGACGAAGAGGATCTCTTTCAGATGGGCGAGCCGAAGGCAAGACAGGATGACCAAATCAATAGCACTGGTATTAATGGAAAGCCATTAGTCACTAGTGGTACTGGTTCAAGAAGCGAACCCGTCGCTGGCGATCTGACAGTCAGGAAGACCGTCAACGGGCTGGGATCTATATACGAAGGCGTCTGTGCCAGCAGGTTGAAGACTGGGAACCCACCAACGGTGCCGGTTTGGGACGATCTGCTCGACATGGCCGAGGAGGAAGGGCTTGTGTCAAAACTGAGCGACCCATCAAGCCTAGGTCATCGCCGTACGGAATCTGTCAAGCGATCGATATCACCGCATGCGATAGCGTCTTCTACCAAACGTCCGAGAACCGAGCCTCCAGTAGCTCCGGCGTCCGATGCAGTAGTACCCAAACCGTCACTCAAAGGCATCCTAAGTAATAGTACAGCCTCTGAGAAGCATCAGGTCACGATGTTGCCGCCAAACTCCCAAGACAAGCCACGATCGTCTCAAAATGTAGGCTCGAAATCTGCGGCCAATCAGTTATTGGGTTTTCCGGTGGTCAAAAGCCAGGAGGACCCGGGCACGAAACTTCGATTGAGCCAGATGAACCCGCCTCGAGCCTCGCAACAAGCTGAAAAGGATTCTCAAAAACGTGTTTGCTTCAATTTAGCATCGGAGGAGACACGTAGCAAGCCCAGTCCGGCCACTCCAGCAAAGAAGGTTCGAATTGCCACTCCTACAACAGATTCGCCAGGGACCGAAGCAGGAACAGAAACAATTCTTCATCGGATACAGACAGCGATCGGATCCTTTTCCGCAAAACGCCAGTGTGTGATCGGCGTCCTGCCTCCCGCGCCAAAACTTATCATGTCGACAATGAAGGAGCTGCAGATTCCCGATATGATTTACCAAGATGCCTACTACAGCGAAGAGAAGGATGTCCCGGCTCGTCCCAGGGAGTATGCCGGTCGGGAATTTCGGCTCGAGAGTAATACTCTACCGTTCCTGGCGGAGTTTGATCCAACTGGGACATCTGCCGCCAGCATTGGCATCAAATCAGACACGCCCATTGACAAGGCCAAGAACGACGTGCGTTATGAGGCCCAAGCAAGCTTATGTTCATACCGAAGCTGGGAGATAGCTCAACCGCCTCCAAGCGCCAAGGAAGTTCAAGATTGGTGGAACAAGAAGCATCTCCTGCAGAAAGCGCAAAAGAATGTCACTGCAAAGATCACGGGCACCCCTCAAGCTACAAGGCGCGACCTCTCCCAGATTGACGGACCTACCCCAAAAAACAAGCATGGCTTCAAATACTCGCCCAAGAAAAAGTCGACCAGTGTCAAGCATGAAGCGCA